GGAAGCATGATTAGTATCCAAACCAGATTTATGTTGACATAATGACTTTTTTATGACATATATTTGTGTGTGTTTGTTTAATATTATTTGCAAATTAAAATAAAAGCATATAATTCCACTGGAACCTTCTTAATCAGGCTGCCTACATGCAGAGTTTAAGGATGAGAATTAAAGATGGGGGATTGTTAAAGTAACTGGGCTCATGCCTGGTTAATGTGGTAATCTTTGAAACAAATGTCTTTACTTCCTCAAAAGTGCTATGCATTTGACAAATATTTTGGTTAAGACATGGTTCATATGCCAAGGATGCTGGTATCTTCTCTGATCCTTGAAAGTTTGCTTGCTTCCATCTCTTAAATCTCAGCTTCAGTGGCATCATGTCTGAAGGTCATCTGCCATTCTGTCATGTGACCTGGTTTTTGGATCAAACCCATGGTGTTCAGAACCTGACTTTGATTGTTACTTTTTTCTTTTTCTTGCTTTTGTTTTCCAATGAGAATATTCTTTACAGAGGTAGAAACTATAATTGTCTTTGTAGAGTCAATCAGTACATGGAGGGATAAAGTCTTAGTGCTTGCTTGAGTTAGCATGTGTGGAGGAAATAAAGAAGGTTTCATCTATTTCCCAGGACAAATGGCTAAACTGGAATCTATTTAACATGTCAAAGTAGACCTGGCTGCCAGGTTCTTTCAGCATCCCTCGGTCCTTATCTGTTACAGAGTATAGCTGGGATAACCCTCCTCCTTTCCTCAATTTCTCCAGCCCAGGGACTGGGCTGAGCTGTCCTTCCCCCAGTGGCTCATCTCCATATAGTCTGGTCATTTTTCTATGCCAGTCCTTTTACCCTTTTACTATCTTAGTCTCTTGTCCTGGGCCACCTTTCTTGGTAGGTTGCTGGGCTCCTCTCTTCCTCTCCCTCCCTCTCTCCTCTCATGGTCTGATTTCGTCCACTGGCCATGTTCAACCTACACTCTTCCCTTTGCCTGCTTTCTCCCTTGTATCTACAATAAAAATCTTCTCCATACTTTAGGATTGGTCATGTCCTCCACCTTTCTGTTTCTCTTCTCTTCTCTTCTCTTCTCTTCTCTTCTCTTCTCTTCTCTT